AATTTCGCGCCCTCCTTGATAAAGAACTTTTGTCTCTAAATTAACAAACAAAAAAGTTTTTTTAATCGATAGTATTATTTTCTAAAATTTCATAAACATATGAAATTTTAAAAACTAAATTCATATGTAATAACATCAAACATACTATACTGATAATAAAAAAAATTGGTGAAATTAATTTTTTCAGAGGCCTCATACAATCAGTATACAAAAAAACTTACGAGAATAAACAAATTATCTCATATAAGCATGTAAAACACAATAAAAACATGTAATTTAACGTACATTTCTGAAAAATTGTGACACAACTATGATCTTCATCTTCTTCAAGTTTCAATCACAATATAGGTCTTCATCTTCTTCATCTTCTATATATGATTGCCAATGGTAGAAGTTTGGGGCGGGTCTTACGAGGAAGGGAGGGGAATGTGGCTTGAGACTTGGGGAAAATTGAAAAAGATTGAAATTTGTTGAAGATGGGAGTTGAGGGAGAATCGGAATCGCTGAAGAAGAGGGGTTGGGGAGGGTTTTCTGATGTGTTTGGAATTGGGGCATGGGGTTTAGGATTAAAGGGGGGGGGGGGGTTATTAGGTGGGGTTAATTGGAAAGAGAACATATGATTTTGGGGTGGGTTTGTTGAGGAAATGAAGGGATTTTGGGTAAGTATTGACTTTGAGTATCTTAAATGTGAGATATTTTACGTAACTGATACCCACTATTTAAGGTATATTTAATTTCCTCTTTTTTTAAGGTTTTGGGTAAAACAAGTAAATATAGGTATATATAGTTATTAATAAGAAACCTAAATAAAATTAGTAAATAGGTTTCTACCATAGTATAGCTAAGTAAAAATCTCAATTTTAAGGGGCTATAGAGGGTCATCTTCTCATAATGAATCCCGGGAAAACTTTTTCCTCAAAAAAACGACCTCTTAGGGAATGCCATATACTACTCCCTTAGGCTACCTGCAAGTATCGTAATGTAGCGCTATCTCAGAATCAAATAATTATGGACAGTCTTCTCAACTAGCTAGTTTTATCATTTTAAAAAAAATTGAACTACAACTATGGAAATTCTACTACTTGAGAATAGTCTTGGATTCTCACGTTGGTCCTTTTTTATCTAAAGAATAATTTTAATACACCTGGTGGGCATAAAGACATTTTGGTAATTTGAAGTTGTGGACATATCTGAAAGTAGAAATCAGTGTTTTATAAGGGGTGGGTGTAAGGCGATGTATTTTACATATGCCTCAGCGAGGCGTAAGCCCCGGGGCACGGGCGTAAGCCCCATAGGTATTTAATTTTTAATATTTATAAAATAATATAATGACAGTAAATGCATATATATATATATATATATATATATATATATATATACTTCAAATCTTAGGTGTGCCTCTGCGAGTAATTGTATGCAAAATTCAATGCCAGTATACTATTTATGTAGTTCTTCATGATCTAGTTAAATGCTTGACTTGCCTCAAATATAGGAAGCACTGATACAAGTCCTTCACAAGACAACATGGAGCATAATTACAAGTTTAAACTAATTCACCCACAAAATAAAGTGAAAAGAAACGTGAAAAATATTGTGAACCTGCGTGACTCAGTGTGGGATTATGGGTCAGAAGTGTGCAACAAAGCTGATCAGTTGGGAGTATTGGGCCTGGAGCTGAATTGAGAAGAGGCCTAATGACTAAACAACCGAATAGAATGCTAGGACATTATATTTGGGATCCGGGGGAATACAGAGCATGGGAATTATGTTGAAGCTTGCGCTCAAGTCTGTTCTCTCATCTCCTCTTCTGACTGTGTATCTCTTCCCCTTCCTTCTTAGCTTTAGGTTGCAATTTCTCTTCTCATCTACTCTTTGTTTCCTATAGTGTTGTTGTTTTCTATTGTTCTATTAATATTTGGTTATTGTAATTCGTTTTAGTGAGTTAATATAATCACTTGGTTTGGGTGTAATATCCAGTTTGTTACATTGGTGCTTTCATCCAGAGGTCTTCGATGGAGGACCAATTATTTATCGATGATTCAATTAAGGTCGTGAAGGATCCGTGGTCGAAGGATATCGCTGAAATTCGTTCATTGTTACATAAGTTGGTTGAAAACCTTGCAACGAGTAAGCCTACTCCAGTAAGATTCCAACGATTCAGTGGCGAGGATCCAGAGTTATGGATTTCTCAGGCTGAACGTTACTTTGAATTCTACGGTACATCAGAAAACAACAATTATTACGCGCGTCTATTTACCTAGAAGGTGAGGCATTAGAGTGGTTCCAATGGCTTCTCCGGAACAAGCAATTGACGGATTGGGATCACTTTGTTGCAAAGGTGCGAATTCGTTTTCGTAAGCAGCATCTCGAATCACCGGAAGGTCACATGGCTACAATCAAGGATTATTCTACTGAAATTGAAGCCCAGATGTTTGACAATATGTCACATGGTTGTTGTTGTTCCAAGTTGTTTGCTACACAGAGATCAGATGTTAACGTCCTTACTGATGCAATGGAATCTGATTCAAACAATGGAAACTTAGAGGATATCCAGGTGTTTGATGAAAGCTCTCACAGAGATGAGGTTAGTGCTTCTCTTATGCAATCTACACATGTGTCTGAAGATCTAGTTTCGGCAAGTATCAATCCAATTATGGGATCCTCAGCAACACGCGAAGGCGAGGTGTTTGATAATTTTTCTCAAGGAGCTGGGCAAACTTTTCAAGAGTTTTCACCTATGGCAGATGACTTTGAGATTATTTGTCCTATTCACAGCAAAGAGCTAGAGTCGGAGAGTGAAGATTGTGGAAGTACCCATCTCATTATCCTTGCCTATAGACTTCCTTTTTATCATTGGCAATGGAGAAGGTAGCATAGTTACATATGAAGATGACAAGCACTCTAGAATTGACGTGAGTTAGGTGTTTGATAATTTTTTGTACCATGCGGGTCAACCTTTGGTTGACAATGAAGTGGTTGAATCACTCGGGGACAGGAATGTCCTCTTGATTTTGGATGGATTCAGATTGATTCATGAGCATATATCTATATACCTTCCATTTGATCCTGGTGAGTTTGTTCCTCCACGCATTTTGTTTGAGCACTTGAATGTACATTTGGATAAATCATGGTACTTGCCCATTACACTACGTTCTAGTGTATTTAGCTTTGTGGACAATTTCAAGATAGCTACTGAGTCGTTAGAAAGTTCACTCAGTAATTTTAATTCCTTAGTGGTTTCCTTTTGTTTCAATTGGAATGTGGAAACCCAAAGTGGAACTACTATTGCAGAGGAGGAAAAATCACGAACCAGTGTAGTCTTAGTATTTGACAACATTCCTCAAAGGGTTGCAAATAGTCTTCTGCTAAGCCCAATTTCACATAAGGAGTCGTGGGTGATTATTTTTCTTAGCCGTGTGTCTGTTCTGCCACGTGATAAAAAGTTGATATTGGCTAATGAGGTCCCTAATAATGAGTCATATGTTCCTGATGATATCTTGTTGGTTTAGTCTGCAAACCAAGATTGGTTGGAAGAGTTCGTGTTAATCATTAAGCAGTCCTTGCGACAGAATTTTCAGTGTTTATTTCTGGGTTGCATAGTACTGAATCGCTCGACTACTTTACCTACATATTTTATAAGGACAAGTGTTATATGCACCTTCTGATGGTACTGTGTGCTGGAGGGAAGTTGTTTGATGCAACCATCACCCGAGGATGTTCGTTAGATAAAGATCCTGCTAATAGTTTTAGACAGCTTCCAAATGTAGTCCACAATGGCCATTTCATGGTTGTTATGCATAAGAAGATTAAGCTATAGAGTTCCATGCTGGTTAGCAAGGATGAATATGCAATGCAAGCGACTAATTTTGGATTTCATATCTTCATCTATGGAGTAAATGACTTTCTCCTTAGTCCATGGATATCCATAACAAATAATGCTACAGACCTAGTTCCAACAATGCTACCAGAGGAAATGAAACAGAGAAGTACTTCAGCAAAAGTTATTGAACAACCTTGGCTTCAATGGGAGGAAGCATCAGACAAGCCAATAGACCATGTAGTTCTATCCAAACTAAAGCAGTTCAGGGTAATATGCAATCTCATGAAACCAGCAATAAAGGTCATTGCAGCAGATTTTTCAGAAGAAGAAATCAAGTATCTAAAATATGTGTTCGCGAGCATGGATACAAACAATAGTGGAACAATCACTTATGAAAGAATAAAATCTGGATTGGCTCGGCTTGCTTCAAAACTTTCAGAAGCTAAAGTACAGCAACTCATGCAGGCTAGTGTCTTGAAGTTTGAGGGATCCTTTGATTGGATAATATTGTTTTTACTCCAAGACAACATACATAGTGCAATTTCATGCTTAGCTAGATTGATCTCATTGCGGCTAGATGGTGATCCTAATTGTTGTACCGTTATGCTTCTACTACCTAGATGTCAGGCGGAACTATGAGAAGAGAAAACCAACTATCCTACTGTTGCTTTGCATTTACTGTTTACTGTTGACAAGGTCAAGCGAATATTGTTGCATTTTCTGCTTTACTCGAACCTTGAGGGCAAGGTTCTTTTTGAGGTGGGAGGTATTGTTGTAAACCCGCGTGACTCAGTGTGGGATTATGGGCCAGAAGTGTGCAACAAAGCTGATCCAGTTGGGAGTATTGGGCCTGGAGCTGAATTGAGAAGAGGCCCAATGACTAAACAACCGAATAGAATGCTAGGACATTATATTTGGGATCCGGGGGGAACACAGAGCATGGAAATTATGTTGAAGCTTGCGCTCAAGTCTGTTCTCTCATCTCCTCTTCTAACTCTGTATCTCTTCTCCTTCCTTCTTAGCTTTAGGTTGCAATTTCTCTTCTCATCTACTCTTTGTTTCCTATAGTGTTGTTGTTTTCTATTGTTCTATTAATATTTGGTTATTGTAATTCGGTTTAGTGAGTTAATATAATCACTTGGTTTGGGTGTAATATCCAGTTTGTTACAAAAAACATTCATAACATTTAAAAACAAGTGTTATAATTCGAAAAGTGTGATGCGCTCATCACACAACTATTTAGTATTAGAAACATAGACGCCATTGATCTAACAGATCAGCAACATATATTTTAAAGTTTGCGCATAAGCAGAGGAGCACCATACTGTGGATGAATCGTCACAATTGCAAATGGAGCATGTGTATAAGATGGGGATAGTTCAAAGGAGAATTTTTGTAGTATCATAGCTACTGCCATTTTTGCTTCCATCATTGCGAAGTTTTGTCCAATACAAACACGAGGTCCCCAGCTAAATGGTATAAATGAGACTTGTCCATTTGTTGCCTTAGACACTCCTTCACTGAATCTTTCTGGTTTGAATTCCTTTGCGTCTTCACCCCATATTTCCTTATCATAATGTACTAAGATTGCTGGTATAACTAGTAGCATTCCCGCTGGTAGATGTAGCTCACCTAATTTGACTTCTTCTTTGTTCCTTCTACCAAATACTGGTAATGGGGGGAATAGGCGTAATGTCTCGTACAAGATCATTGTCACCTATGGAAAAGATATTGCATAAGTTGGCAATAGAATTAGTTCACTTCTTATAAACTTGAGGAGTCATGCCTTTCAATGCTCTATACATATAGCCAAGAATTTTACTAAGGGGTGTCAACATTTAAAAAAGTAAACACAAGAAGAATAAGGGAATTCAGTATATATAAGATAAAATTTTGACCTAGCTAAACATTGTGACTTTACTGCCGAAGGGGTGTCAATGTCAACATTTAAAAAAGTAAACACAAGAAGAATAAGGGAATTCAGTATATATAAGATAAAATTTTGACCTAGCTAAACATTGTGACTTTACTGCCGAAGGGGTGTCAATGTCAACATTTAAAAAAGTAAACATTGTAACTTTACTGGCGACCTTAGCATAAGGTGGCTCCACCACTGCATATAGCGAGGTTCTTCCAAAATAACTTGAGAAAAGTACTTACAATTTTCAGGCGGCTTAGTCCTTCCAAATCTGGTTTTTCATCTCCGAAGACCTGCAAAACCTCCTCTCTGGCACGTACTTGCCACTCTGGATGTAGGCATAGCAAAATCATAGTCCAAACAAGCAAAACTGAAGTGGTCTCTTGGCCGGCAAAATAAAATAACTTGCACTCTTCAATCACTTCTGATGTTGTTATTCCGAAGTCTTTTCTTCCATGAAGTTCAATTTCTTTCATATTGGATTCAAGTAATATGCCTAATAAGTCATCTTTACTGCTCTCCCCTTCTTCCATTGCCTTCAATCTTTTGTCGATAATACGCCTAATTGTTGTTTGGACTTGCTTTTCAATTTCCAGCATTCTTTTGTTCCTTTTAGTAGGCAAGAACCTATACAAACAAATTCAAGCAAACAAGAACAGTCTTTTAGTAGAAAGACAGAGTAGGACAGTTGCTTTTGTATTTGCTAGGGGGCAAATCTTTTATATTTGGTAAGAATTAAAGGTTTTACAAGCACAATAAAAGGATTGTACCTTGATCCTGGTATATAAATTGAACGTCCTATGTCCATTACATACTCAGCTTGTTCTTTCTGAAGTTCAAATACTATTCTTCCCTCTTCATAGCTACTCCCAAATGCTGTGCGAGAAATGACTTCACTGGTCATTATTTGAAGGTCTGGCCATACATCGAGCTCGAATGATGTTTCTTTTGGAACAACCTCCTCCCATTTACTTATCATTTCACTACAACTCAGATAAAATGATGGCAGCATATGCTGTACAAAACAAATTAATGGAAAAACCGGTGCTGGTTATAAATGGACAACTTCTTAAAAAGTAAAAACCAGTGCATGTTATAAATGGACGACAACTTAAAGTTCAAGACATCTCTGTACACGGTGGAAATCGGGGCTACCCGATTTCGTCCTTCAATGAAAAAAGTAATACCACGTCGGAAGACCAGGACATCGAGCTCGGGGTCGAAGTTCCTTTCCAAGGTCAAGGTCGATATCACCTACCGAGGTCAGAAGAAGGCATATTTCGAGATGATGCCGGTATAGTTCAGTAACGGAAAGAGCGAGATACCCGCAATGGACCGCAGATCACGACTTGAATTTCGGAATGGATTGATCCTCGGCGGTTAATCAGTTGTCAAATATGATTTCCTACTATAATTAGAAGTGTACCTTATTTAGGACTCCCCTATTATATAAAGGGGGATCCCATTCATTTGTAACGACCATGATTCATTGCTAAGAAAATATACATCATTACTTTCTTGCTAATTTACTTACTGTTCATCAGAGTTGCTTTATCATTTGCTATTCCTATTATCACACCTCGAGATTGCCATAGGTCGAGGTCGAGATTTGGCTTGCATACCGGTTTGATCTATTTTATTCTCTAATTTATCTATTTAATTCCTCGTTTATCAATTGGTATTGGATTAAATCACATATCCTTAAAATCACAATATAAGTTTAATTGTTACTCAAATTTCAGGGTAACGGTTCGGCGCCCACCGTGGGGCTAAGGATAATAGTGATTGTTCAGTGCTGATTCTGATAACACACGTTATTTCATGCTTGTTCTTGTCAAGTATTTTGTGCTCTCAGGTTAAAACATGTCAAACTCTCAAAACGCACCCATACATGGTGATGATGGTCTCAGATTTCACGAGGAAAACGACAATGTAATTGATCCAGAAGCCGGGGTGCCACCGGCTAATCTAGGGGAAGCACCGGTTGCCGATCCTGTTGATGTCAGTTCGCACGTTGCTCTAAATGTGAACCTAGGCGCGGACCCCGAAGGAAGTGTACGCAGGGAAGGCCGATCTGGTGGTCAAGGTACACAGAGTAGAGGAGACGGAGGAGTTAGTCTCCAGTGATATTCGAGATGCTACAGGCCCAGCAGACCGCTATTACTCAATTGCAAAATCAACATAGGACTCCGAGTGGGGTCGAGCCAGAAATCACTCGCTGTACCGAGCCAGTGCCCGAAAGGTCAAATGGTAACGAATTAGGGACTGATCTTGCAGTAATGAAAATGCTCAAGGAGCTCACTAAAGGGGTTGGATTTGAAAAGGTTCGTGCAGAAGCCTTTCCCTCAAAGTGCGGCTCTGAAGCCCATTCCTAAGAAGTTCCGTATGCCGGACATACCTAAGTACAACGAAACAACCGATCCTAATGAACACATCACTTCGTACACGTGCGTAATAAAGGGGAATGATTTAGAAGATGATGAAATTGAGTCCGTTTTGTTGAAAAAATTTGGGGAAACTTTATCAAAGGGAGCAATGATTTGGTATCACAACATGCCACCAAATTCCATCGACTCATTCGCCATGTTAGCAGATGCTTTCGTAAAGGCACACACCAGGGCCATAAAGGTCGCAACAAGAAAATCGAACCTTTTCAAGATAAGACAAAGGGACAACGAAATATTGAGGGAGTTCATATCCCAATTTCAAATGGAACGCATGGAGTTGCCACCGGTCACAGATGATTGGGCCGTTCAAGCTTTCACCTAGGGGTTGAACGAGCGGAGTTCGATAGCATCACATCAGTTGAAACAAAATTTGGTCGAGTATCCAGCTGTAACTTGGGCAGATGTGCACAATCGATATCAATCAAAGATCAGGGTCGAGGACGACCAGTTAGGACCCCTTACGATTCAATTCATCCAAATAGGTCGGCAGCTAAAACCCTGAGGGACGTCAACAGGGAACCAAGGTCGAACAGAGATTGATATCAACCATATACCGCAGATCGAAGGAACAATGGTTCAGGACGTAATTCCGCCCAGAATGATAGAAGAAGTGATCGAGGACAGAATTCTCGGGGACTTATGAGCAAAAGTGGTTTTGATAAGCATGCCGATCCTACAGAGGCACCGCGGTTATCAGAATATAACTTTAGCATCGACGCATCGGGAATTGTATCGGCAGTCGGAAGGATCAAAGATACTAGGTAGCCCAGACCCATTCAAACTGATCCTTCTCAAAGAAACCCAAATTTGATGTGCAAGTATCATGGCACGCATGGTCACAAGATCGAGGATTTCAGGCAACTAAGGGAGGAGGTAGCCCGTCCATTCAATGAGGGCCACCTTCGAGAGTTCCTCAGCGATCGAGCTAAGAATCATTTCAGAGAAAGGGACGCCAATAGGAAAAATGAACAGGAGGAACCCCAGCATGTCATTTATATGATCGTCGGTGGGGTCGACATTCCACAGGGACCCATATTCTAACGAACTAAGGTATCAATCATCAGGGAGAAACGAACCCGAGATTATGTGCCCGAAGACTCCTTATCATTCAACGACGAAGAAGCATAAGGCATTTCTCAGCCACACAACAACGCTCTGGTAATTTCTATCTTATTAAATAAAGTTCAAGTTAAGCGTGTTTTAGTAGATCTAGGTAGCTCAGCGAATATCATCCGATTGAGGGTCGTGGAGCAGCTCGGCCTACAAGATGAAATCGTGCCCGCAGCTCGGGTCTTAAACGGCTTTAATATGGCCAGTGAAACAACTAAAGGGGAAATTATTTTGCCGGTGAACGTGGCTGGAACCACTCAAGATACCAAATTCCACATGATCGAGGGAGACATGAGGTACAATGCCCTACTCGAAAGACCTTGGATCCACAACATGAGGGCAGTCCCCTCGACTCTCTACCAAATGATGAAATTCCCGACGACGGACGGTGTAAAAACAGTATACGGGGAGCAGCATGCTGCAAAGGAAATGTTTGCGGCTGATGAGGTAACGCCAATATCGACGTTATCAACCTTGGAAATGTCGAGCATCAAAGGTAAACAGAATGCCAAATAGCAATCACAACCACCATCCCCGACCGAGTCAAGGAAGGAGGGGATAGAAGAAGAAGAAGAAGAGGAGGAGGAGGATTTTCTGACTCCTTGAACTTTTAACTTTCTCGAAGATTCGGACGCCACCAAATCAACGGTCAAAGAGCTGGAACAGTTATATTGATCGAGTACCTGCCCAAGCAAAAGGTATACCTTAGAACGGGATTAACCCTCGAACTCGGGAAAAAGCTTATTCAATTTCGTATTGATAACATAGATTGCTTTGCTTGGTCCCATTTAGATATGACAGGGATCCCACTGGAGATAACGACTCATCGGCTAAGCCTTGACCCCAGGTTCAAACCGGTGAAACAAAAGAGAATGCCCCACTCCGAGGTAAAGCACGCATTCATAAAGGACGAGGTAACTAAACTTCTCAAAATATGGTCCATTCGGGAGGTAAAATATCCCGAATGGTTAGCCAATGTAGTTTAGTCCCTAAAAAAGGGAACAAACTTAGAATGTGTGTAGATTATAAAGATTAAAACAAGTCATGCCCCAAAGATTCTTTTTTTCTTTTCCACTGCCTAACATCGATAGCATGATCGACGCCACGGCTGGCCACGAGATCCTTACCTTTCTCGATGCCTACTCCGGGTACAATCAAATTCATTTGAACCCGGAAGACCAGGAAAAGACTTCATTTATCACCAAGTATGGAACGTATTGTTATAATGTAATGCCTTTCGGGCTAAAAAACGCAGAATCTACTTACCAACGCCTAGTAAATAAAATGTTCGAAGAAGAAATAGGTAATTCAATGGAAGTTTATATCGATGACATGCTAGTTAAGTCCCTGCGCACAGAGGACCAGTTGGCTCATTTGCAGGAAACGTTCGAGATTTTGAGGAAATATAACATGAAGCTCAACCACGAGAAATGTGCTTTCGGGGTCGATTCGGGCAAATTCCTGGGCTTCATGGTGTCGAATTTGGGGATCGAGATCAACCCCGATAAAATCAAGGTCATTGAAGACATCACCGCCGTGGACAGTGTAAAAGTCGTGCAGAGGCTGACTGGACGGATAGCTGCTTTAGCCGATTCATCTCGAGGTCGTCGGATCGAAGCCATAGATTTTTCTCTCTACTCAAAAAGAAGAATTATTTTACCTGGACCCCCGAATGTCAATAGGCATTAGAGGAACTGAAGCGATACCTATCGAGCCTGCCACTGCTTCACACTCCAAAGGCAGATGAGAAACTTTACTTATACTTGGCAGTATCGGAAATCACGGTAAGTGGTGTCCTAGTTCGAGAAGAGCAAGGTACGCAATTTCACGTTTATTATGTTAGTCGAACCTTAAGAGAAGCAGAAACTAGATATCCACACTTAGATAATATTTGCATTGATAAGCGCCTCTAGAAAGTTAAAACCGTACTTTCAATGTCACCACATATGTGTGTTAACCACTTATGCGCTTCGCAATATTTTGCACAAGCCCGAACTATCGGGCCGATTGGCCAAATAGGCCGTCGAACTCAGCGGGTACGATATCGAGTATCAACCCCGAACGGCCATCAAGTCCCAAAATTTGGCGGACTTCGTGGCCTATTTCGCGCCAACACTTGCCCGAAGTTGAGAAAGAACGTTTGTTAAAATCATGCACATCATCGCGGGTATGGACCCTTTTCACAGACAGTGCTTCAAATGTGAAGGGGTCCGGGCTAGGCAATATTTTAAAGCCGCCTACGGGTAACACTATTAGGCAGTCCATCGAAACTTCTAGGTTGATTAAGAATGAGGCCGAGTACGAGGCCATGATTGCAGGTCTTGAGCTAGGTAAAAGCTTGGGAGCGGAAGTCATTGAAGCCAAGTGTGACTCTTTACTTGTGGTGAACCAAGTAAACAAAACCTTTGAAGTTCGAGAGGATAGAATGCAAAGGTATTTGGACAAGCTACAAGTAACTTTGCACCGTTTCAAGGAATAGACTTTACAACATGTACCTCGATAACCAAACAGTGAGGCCGATGCACTTGCAAATCTAGCATCATCGATCGATGAAGATGAGATCAGCTCGGGGACTGTCGTTCAACTCTCGAGATTTGTGATTGAGGAAGAACATGCCGAGATAAAATCTATAAGCTTAACCTGGGATTGGAGGAATAAATATGTTGAATACTTGAAAAACGGGAAGCTCCCATCGGACCCTAAAGAGTCGAGGGCCCTACAAACCAAAGTTGCTCGATTCATATTGGATGAAGATGGAATATTATATAGAAGAACGTTCGATGGACCATTGGCAGTGTGTTTAGGACTAGGAGACACCGATTATGTTTTACGGGAGGTCCATGAAGGCACTTGTGGGAACCACTCCAGCACCGAATCACTGATTCGAAAAATCATTAGAGCAGGGTACTACTGGATAGCATGGAAAAAGACGCTAAGGAGTTTGTTCGAGAATGTGATAAATGTCAAAGGTTTACGCCGATGATCCACCAGCCCGGAGAACAACTTCATTCAGTTCTATCCCCGTGGCCATTCATGAAATGGGGGATGGATATCGTCGGCCCTCTTTCAACGGCCCCAGGTAAAGCTAAGTTCATTTTATTTATGACTGACAATTTCTCTAAATGGGTTGAAGCACAAGCGTTCGAGAAAGTGAGAGATAAAGAGGTTATAGACTTCATCTGGGATCACATCGCATGTCGATTTGGGATACCCGCCGAAATAGTGTGTGACAATGGAAAACAATTTATCGGCAGCAAGGTAACGAAATTCTTCGAGGACCACAAAATAAAAAGGATATTATCGACGCCGTATTATCCTAGAGGCCAAATCGATGAACAAGACCATCATTCTAAACTTAAAGAAAAGGTTGAACGATGCCAAGGGGAAGTGGAGAGAAATGTAACCCGAAGTCCTTTGGGCATATCGAACAACATCAAAGTTCAGTACGGGAGCAACCCTATTCTCCTTAGTATATGGCTCCGAGGCCTTGATTACGGTCGATGTCGGGGAACCTAGTGCCAGATTTTGACATACAACGGAAGAATCAAATCACGAGGCTATGAATACTAGCCTCGAGCTATTGGATGAAAAACGAGAAGTTGTGCTCGCTCGGATGGCTGCACAAAAGCAAAGAATCGAGAGATATTATAATAGAAGAACCAATCTTCGCCACTTCAGAATTGGGGACTTAGTTCTGAGGAAAGTCACCCTCAACACTTGAGACCCAAACAAAGGGAAACTAGGCCCAAATTAGGAAGTACCATATCGGGTCCTCGGTATCATCGGAAAGGGATCTTACAAACTTGGCACAATGGAGGGCGAACAATTGCCAAACAATTGGAATGTATCACTCCTCAAACGGTATTATTGCTAAGGTATGACATTCACCCTTTCCGTGTGCATTAGATACTAATTTATTGCAGGTCTTTGATCGAAGACGTCGAGAAACTCTCCAACACGAGGACCTTAGGTTTTAAGCACGCGTTGCACTCTTTTTCCCTTAGGTCGGTTTTTATCCCAAATGGGTTTTTCCGGTGAGGTTTTTAACGAGGCAATAATCATGTGCTACCTGAGGAAAATTCAACAGTATCTAAGGCTTCTTTGCAATCAACCTCGAATATTGGGGGGCATCACCCTCGGATGTTACATTTTCGAGAAAAATACTTCATGTCAAAAAATGGTCTCGATAGGGAAACTTTGTAATGGGCCAAACGGTCGAATGAGCCGTGTCCATATAGATTAGACGATCCCCAATGGCAAAACGTGTACGCATGTATAAATTATTTCAAGAAGCATTCTTTCTATATCAAACATCTTGTGTCTCAAAGAAAAATTTCTACTATACGAGCTCCATACTTATGATTTTGTGAGAAATGGCTCAAGGGCCAAGCGCAAATACACCTCGAACACTTGGGGACTGTCATCAACAATCAACATATTTGAGTTATCTAAACTCGAATTCATAAGACCTCAAAGAGGCACCCCTCGATCTATAGGCCAAGGCCGTCATTCTCGAGGACTAACACTTCGAACAAGTTCGAAGTGTTATTGGGAAATAAGCCCAAGAGGCATACCCAAAGGCTACGGCCAAATTAATGCGGCTCGGAGATGTCTGAGTCCTGCAATCACGATAGACCTTCGAATTCTTTAAAAAACCGATTAACAAAAGGCTACCCTCGGCAAATAACCAAAAGGGCTTCGATAAAATCATCTCTAAAAAACCTTAAGAGGTATCAAATTATCTTAACACAAACGTGCTAAGGCAAAAAAAAAATAGAGCGGTTTCAATCGACATCGAACCCTAAAAAACCCAATAGGTAAAAAATACATGCTAAGGCATAAAGAAATTTTTACTAAGTATTTTAAGCCGAAAGAAAGGAATAACAACCATCTTCTAGAGGCCATATCGGCCCGATCTAAAGAGCCTAAGGGCCAATACACTTAGAGTTCGAGATCTTGTTCTCACTCCATCCGAAACCAAGGGTTCGACTATCCCGAGCCCAAATAAAGAATAACTTGACTATGGCTCGGGGACCCACCATTATCCGACACAAATCCTAAAGGGCCTATGCCTCAAGTTCGAACCATATTCGAACTCGACTTTGGCGACTTCGAAGAAGCCACCCAAAACCAAAAAGTCTCGAACGCACTATTCAAAGCATAAGATCGTGCTAAAATTTTACAAGGCAAGAAACATGATCGAAGACAAAATTTGAGAAGACGTTCAAAAGGGAAAGTTTCTTTATATATATATATGGGCAAAAATATGTACAAAGGACCGACGGGGGTCTTACAAAAAGAAAAGGAAAAATAAATATCCTAACTATGTCCGGGGTTGGTTTCTCCCTCAGGGGCAGCTTCTCCTTTGGGCCCCTCGTCGTTATCGGACCCGCCTTGGCTGCTTTCATCATCATCGTTGTCATCGGAGGAGACAAGAAACCTGGAATCAGCTTCAAGCGCCTTAGCTTGAGCTATCTCTTCGGAGAGGTCAAAACCTCGAGCGTGGATTTCCTCGAGGGTCTCCTTACGGGATGGGCACTTCGCCAAGTCATTGCTCCGTTGCTCTCGAGCGGAAGCCTCCCTTAGCTGCGTTTGAGTAGCCTCGGCATCGGCCAAGTACACAGCTATGGATTTGTCAGCCGCGATCTTCATCAACCCGACCTCTGCCTTGGCCTCGGCAAGCTCGGCTTTGAGCTCCTCGATCCTTTTGGCCTAGGCTGAACCTTTATCTTTAGCGCCCCGAAGTTGGACCTCGGCCGATGACAGTTTGGCCAAAGCAGCCTCTTTCTCCGCAGCAAGGCGGTCCATGCTCTCTTTCCACCGATCACAGTCGGCTTTGACTTGGTCGACCTCCCCTCGGAGCAGCTCGATCCTTTCCAGGTTTTGCTACAACTGAGATATTGAAGTATTAGCCTCCACAGTTGGGTCGAGACCGTACTCTTTCAAAAGGTTAGTTAACTGCTTATCTAGCTCGGCTTCTTCCTTACGAGCCTGGGCCAATTCAGCTCGAAGGTCTTTGAGCTCCTCTTCTTTCTGCACATAGACGCGTTTGAGGGCGTCTCTCTCCTCAGTAAGCCTTTTGAGATTGTCCTCACACCGGCTCAGCTCGGCTTGGTATTTGGTGAATGCTTCCCGATGAAGTGTCACATCCTATGGAAAAGGGAGAGAAATCAGACGGAAGGAAACAAAAGCAAACATAATGGCAGGAGATAAAGTTTACCTGGTTTAGGAGGCGATGGGCCTCACCAAAAACGATCGTCGCATCTAGGTCGGAAACATCATCGACCCACGCGTGGCAGCCGCGGAATATGTCTTCCCCATCGTGGGTAGTTCCCACATCGAGGGTCTCCAAGGACTGAGCCTCCCAAAACTGCCCTTCAAAGAATTCAAGGTCGAGCGGCGAATCATCAATATTGATTGCCCCAAGCGAGTCACTTGGGGCGCTCTCTCCCTTCCGAAGAGCCCTAGAATCGGACCCTTCGGGCACACTCGCCATTTGTTTATCACGGGAGGAAGCATCTTTTACCCCCGATGACTCGGGAGCTTTTCTCGGAGTACTTTCCGCGATCTCCTCGGTCCGAGGGTTATTTTCCTCGGCCATCACCGGCTCAGCCGTTGTTGAAGCTTTGACGCTCCCCCTCTTTCGAGGCACCAGCTCGTAACCAACATCTTCGCCCTCCTCTTCTACATCTCGTAGCCTTTGGTCTACGTCAACAGGTAGAGCGGCAAAGTCATCCTTCGGCTTACGAGCCTTACTCTTCTTAGGCTTTGGGGTATCGGAAGGTGAGGCCCTTTTCCTTTCTTGTCCTTGGCCGGTTTGGGAGCCACCTCTTCCCCAGGTGGGTTTCAGCCTCATTTCAGCGACATCCCCGAGGCCTGCGCAAAATGAAATCGAGTATAAGTGAAAAGAAACGTTACAAGAAAAGGGCGCCAAAATCTCACTAGGTAAACTTACCATGATTCTTGGCCTCCCATCTGCCCCTTGCCAAGTCACGCCAGCAGCGCTCGGCATGGGAGGAAGTCGCAGCCAGCTTCCGAACCCAGTCTTCGAGGTCGGGAACCGCGTGAGGCATCCAAGCAACCGCTGCGAAATAGATGAAGGCATTAAATAAAGCAAAATATGGAGTACGAAGATTAATAGATAAAAAAAATCACTTACGTTTGGGGTTCCACTTCTCGGGGAACGACAGTTTCTCCTTGGGGATGAGGTCGCAGGTCCTTACCTGCACGAATCGGCTCATCCAACCTCGATCCTTGTCTTTATTGATGCTTACAAAAAAGGACTTCGTTGATCGGCGTTGGAGCTTGATTAATCCTCGGAAAAGTCGAGGACGATACAACCGTATAAGGTGGCTGAGAGTGAATTCCAACCCCGTGGCCTTGCTAGAGAAGAAGTGGAGCATGATCACTATGCGCCAGAACGAGGGATGCACCTGACCGAGGGTAACCTGGTACATCTTGCAAAAGTAGAGGACAACTGGGTCAAGAGGACCCAACGTGAAGGGGTAAGTGTAAACACTTAGAAACCCCTCCACGTGAGTGGTAATACTTTCTTTCGGAGTAGGGATTTGTACCACGACCTCGGCCCCCAGTTGCAGTCCTTCTTCACAGCCTCAAGCTGTTTCACCGTTATCGAGCAAATATGCCTTGATACGTGATAACATCGGACGGGGACCGACGGAGGGTTCTCGACTTTGAAGTCGTCTTTTAGAACACAAGGGCCGGGAAGAAGAAGAAAAAGAAGCTCTCCTTTTGTGGGACGGTTTTGGAAGTTTTCGCCATTGATTTAGATGGGATAAAGCGGAAAGAGGCGAAATTGGTGTTTTGATACTAACGTAATTGATTCAACGGATGGTAAAAGAGAAGAGATGGAGAGAGGAAAAGACTTAGAAAAACTTGGTGAAGATGGAAGTAAAGTTTTGATTCAAATAAAGAGCCGGTATCTATAGGCTCACGGCGACGGTTGGGTGATGCTAGTGGCCGACCGTCACTAGCAAGTATTAATGGTTTGGGGAAATGTACCGACGGGACTTTTCGATTACCTCGACCGCTTATGTCACGGGAATGATGTCATTATCGGGGTCTCCAGAAAATCGAGGCTCAAGTCGTTTCTTCTCGTTTTACTCTAAGAAACAAGGGGATATCTGTATACGGTGGAAATCGGGGCTACCCGATTTCGTCCTTCGATGGAAAAAGTGATAGTACGTCGGAAGACCAGGAAATCGAACTCGGGGTCGAAGTTTCTTTCCAAGGTCGAGGTCGATATCACTTATCGAGGTTAGAAGAAGGCATATTTCGAGATGATGTCGGTATAGTTCAGTAACGGAAAGAGCGAGATACCGGCAATGGACCGGAATTTCGGAGTGGACTGATCCTCGGCGGTTAATCAGTTATCAAATATGATTTCCTACTTTAATTAGAACTGTACCTTATTTAGGACTCCCCTATTATATAAAGGGGGATCTCATTCATTTGTAACGATCATGATTCATTGCTAAGAAAATATACATCATTACTTTCTTGCTAATTCACTTACTGTTCATCAGAGTTGCTTTGTCATTTGCTATTCCTATTATCACACCTCGAGATTGCCATAGGTCGAGGTCGAGATTTGTCTTGCATACCGGTTTGATCTATTTTATTCTCTAATTTATCTATTTAATTCTTCGTTTATCTTGGTATTGGATTAAATCACATATCCTTAAAACTATAATATAAGTTTAATTGTTACTCAAATTTTAGGGTAAACAATCTCAATATGCAATCTTAAGTCAATGGCACGAGAAATTACCATGTTCACTAAATTTGGTAATGAGAAAGAGGTATAACAATAACCTTTAGCTTCTCGACATGGAAGGCAGGATTGATGATTTTTCTGTGTTTAGCCCATTTGTCTTCCTCAAGGCTGACAAGACCGTGAGCTAATAACTTGGCGTATGGATTGGGATGAGTTTGCTTTTGATACACATAATTCTTTGTGAAAATCTCTTTTAAATGCTCAGGATCCGTGATCAACACTATTGGATACGGTCCAAGCCAGACGAAAGAGTTTTTACCTGCAATAATCAGTTTTTGGTTAGAAAAGAACGGGGTATTATCACTTTTAGCCAGCATCAGAAACTATTTACATTTGATAGTCAAAAAAATATATAAAATTTGTATAATTTTTGTATATATATATATATATATATACACAAATTTTATAAAAATTTTCAGCTATTATATTTACAGCGACTATATAGTGTCATTTTTTCGAAAAGAAACCGGTTTCTCTACTAAGCCTGATTTCAAGGGAAAGTAGTGTACAAGGATGGAAATGAAAATAAGTAAATGTAAAACCTAATAGGCCGAAGACTAATTTGAATGACCATAAGTGAAATTAACCTAATTTTATTGTAAAACCTAAGTCAAGAATGATTGTAGTTAATAATCAAAGAAGAGATAACTAATAGGCCGAAGACTAATTTGGCCAGTGATGGGGACAGTACGGACTTAGTAATACACTACTGCATTTATGACGCTGGCCACTAACTATGAATTTATATATGTCTAATTTTTTAAGCAATGGCTCAACTAATCCCTCTCCATAACCACTCTACCATTGACTTTGTTTAATTGTCTTTTCTCGTTCAAGGGTCGCTCTCTTTTCATAACTCTCGCTTTTAACTAATAAAAAATACCGTAGAATACTATTGACAATAGAATATTTTACAACCCTATATGTCTTTCAAGAAGCATTAAGCCATTTATATTTTACTCTTCCTTTAATTGTCATGTCAAGTTGAAGCTCGAAATGAAAATAGACTTTAATTGACATAAAGTTCAAATTCTCTTTACCATTTTCATTGCAAATAATATTCCTACCTTCTTCCTATGTAATCTACCGTTTAACTACTGAAACAAGACTTAGCAAACAAACAGTAATGTCAGATCATCATGCAGACAACGGTAATTTTATATGGCACTCAACACTAGAACTTAAAAACATGACCATAAAAGAACAAAAATATGTATATATACTATTCTTTTCATTCAAGTTTATGTGACTCTTTAGCAGAGGCGAAGCCGGAATTTAGAGTTTATAGATTCGGAATTCTAATCGTTTTAAGTTATTGAGTTCTAAATTAATAATTTTTACACATTCAATGGATTTTAAATAAGACAAAAACAAGGTTCGAATCAAAGTTATTACGTGCGGCTGAACCTACTCTCGACACTCTAGCTCCGTCCCTGCCCTTTAGTATAATTTAAAGAGAATGAATCCTTTCTAAATTTAAAAATAATTTAATTTAAACTTTACATTTTACTTTTAACAATAGAATTTGATAGTTACTTAAATATTATGATATGTTCAAGACAAAACGTTTCAAAAGTTTTATAATTACAAAAATATTAGTATATGAGACATTTAAGATCATAGGTTCTTAATTTTTTTTTCTTTGGCGAACTTCATATCCAATCAAATAAGGTTATAATTAAATGAAATGAATTGGAGGGAGTAACTTCTTAAGTTATCTATTGGGAAAGAAAAGGAAACGTACCATTTTTGTTGATGGCGTTAAGGAAAAAAGGGATGAGCCTTTGCGCTATATCATCAGAGAAATTGATGGGCTTAGACTTGGCTTCTATTACGCTTTTCGTCAGTTCGTTTAGATCTCCATAGAGTAGCTTGTAAGGATTTCCCTTGAGACCCCTCTCTCTTAAGCAATTCTCCATTTTCTTTGGCCTAAACCATGCCCAGTTCAACACTTTCCATGTATATATCAAGATAATTGCAACACTGACTACTGCTATTATGTTGTACAGCATCATCTCCATTCTCAGAAGTGACAACTCCATGAAAGGATTTACCTCAGCTGCTTCATCTTAAATACTCTTAAAAAGGGAGAAGGTAACTAGACTTGTTAATTTCTTGCTCTAATATTGACAAGATAAGACCACATATTCTCTCTAAAATATCGACGACAAAAATCATTGTCCAATACTAATAGAGACGGTTGTCAAATCGATGTGGAGCCTGGACCCACTCCATTGACAGGAATTTTAGAAGAGGATGGATGTCAAAAAAAATTACTTACTCCCTCCGGTTCAAAATAAATAATTTTTGGCCTTCTTTTATGATTCAAAATAAGTGGTCCAGATTTTAAGGATAAATTAATTATTTTTTTCTTATATTGCCCTTAGAGTAAATAGTGTTGGAGTATGTATTAGGGGTATTTATATGAAGAGATAGTAAATGTTAATATGATCAATTTCATTGCTAATTAATGTTAAAAGGTGAATTTCTTAATCTGTGTGAAAACAGCTAAAAAATCACTTATTTTTGACCGGAGGAAGTATTGTGCATTAAAATCTTGTCTTTTTATGTTTTTTCTACTCTTTTAGTATACTTCATTGTTAATGATTATAATTATTTACTAGAAAAAACTAGCTCAGTGCACAAAATATTTTCCATTCACGCAACGTTCGGAGAAGAGCCGTACCTCAAGTATATGATTACAGTCTACTCTATTGCAAATATTAATGACGGCTATCGCGACTTCTTCTCGTTCATTTTAATTATTTAATATTTATTTTAACGAAATTAATATGATGTAATGAAAATTTAAGTGAGAGTAATTGGTAATGGGAACGAGAATAGATTTTTCCAATAATTATTCTTCAACGTAGTTGGGAGAAAAAGCGGACAAAAGACTCGTTAAGCGTGCAGTCTCTGGCATAACTTCAAGTCGGTCTAGGAAATATTCCTTACCAAGGAACTTTGTATTATCTAATTTCTCCATTAACACTACTAAAGTAAAAAATAAAAAAATAAAAAATTAGAGAAGGACAAATTTTATAACAAAAGAAAAAAATTGATTATTACTTTTATTTAGTACAAATTATCAAAAGTTCTATTAGCTCCGAGTGATTTTCTAAACATATTAGCTAAGAAATTCGTATTTCTTTTGTAATTTATAATGTTTTAATATTTTGAAAGTATATTTTATCACTAGAAGATACTCTTTTTTTTATTTTATGAATCTAATTAATTCTCTTGCATTTGGAATAGCGAACGCGTAAGATGATGATTTAAAAGTTGAAAAGAAAAGGTGGCTATCTGGATTCAAGAAAATCTCGCGTTCTCACAAGGCTCTGGTTTTCCTTTGAAATGGACGACAAATAGCTAAAGAAAGTGACAGCAAAAATCAGATTCTACTTCCTTAGCTTATTTATTGTTCTCTGTTTATATTTACCTTATTGACACGGCGGCTCATACACATATGTGATCTGAAGTTAAAGTTTAATGTGAGGGCTAATTTTTTTTTTTTTTTGAAAAAGATTATAATATTTCCTCCGTTTCATATTATTTGAGGTAGTTTAACTCGGCACGGAGTTTAAGAAAAAAGAAGAAGACTTTTGAAACTTGTGGTCTTAAAAGCTTAAGGGGTAAAAGGTTCGTGGGGCCATGCCATTTGTGTGGATATAAAAGCTTCTCATTAAGGGCAAAAAGGGTAAAATGAAGAGTTTAAAGTTGAATTATTTCCAAATTTAGAAATGTGCCATTTGTTTTGGAACAGACTAAAAAGGAAAGTACCTCATTTAATGGGATAATTTCACATATGTGACGACCCGACCCGTCGTCCCGTGAGAACCGCTCCGTTTTCCCCATTTCCTGCTTCGTTATGCTTCATTATCAGTGTCTTGTGTGAACGAGTTGAATTGGGTTGATTTTTGGAAGGAAATGAGACACTTAGTCTCTTTAAGGAGGGCTTGTTTTGGAAAAGTCAACCGGATGTGGACCTATGAGTTAGAGGGCTCGGATGTGGATTCCGAAGATTTGGGGGATGATTTGTGACTTAGGAGTGTGATCGGAAGTGATTTTGGAGGTCCGGTGTAGAATTAGGCTTGAATTGACGAAGTTAGTATTTTGGCGAATTCAGGTTGATAGGTGAGATTTTGATCCGAGGGTCGGAATGGAATTCCGAGAGTTGTTGTAGCTTCGTTAGGTGATTTGGGATGTGTGTGCAAAATTTCAGGTTATTCGGAGGTGATTTGGTTGGGTTTTTTATCAAATGCGTGTTTCGGAAGTTTTATAACAACTTAGGCTTGAATCCGATGTAATTTGGTGTTTTGATGTTAGTTTTGGTGTTTTGAGAGTGCAACTAAGTTTGAATGATCATATGTGACGTGTTAGTATGTACGTATGCGGTCTCGAGGAGCTCAGGTGAGTTTCGGATAGGTTTGGGCAGCGTTGTGCTCGTTTTTCTTATGCTTCGACGTCGTTTCTTCAAGCATAAATGATACCATATTGAACAAATGAGCTCCGATTATTGTTTTGAATGAAGCTTTAGATCCGTATCGTAATTACGGACTCGTAGCAAAAAGAATCGTCGAATTTGGACATCGTATGAGGATTTTATGGCCATTTTACCAAGGTTGCCCAGATTTTCAGGTTAATGACGAAATTGCCCCTGACGGCGTATTAAAAACGTGCACTATTTGGAAATCTTAAAACCTGCATATCTCCTTCATTATAAGGTCAAATTGAGTGATTCAAAAGTCTAAATTCATTAGAATTGCACAAGAAATCCATTGGAAGCAGTAAAACGCGTGAACAGTATACCTATAATGAGCAGATCGAGTTTTCTTCCAATTTTTGAACGGGAAGAAGCTTCTGAGGCGAGTTTTATGAGAAAAATCAGTGGGTATCACAGAGGTAAGTGATTTAATTATTAAAACTCGTTTATGGGTGATTATAGACCATAATCCCAGCCTTTAATTCATGAAAAACAGTAGAGAAATAGGATTTTGGGGCCTGAGATTATGAGACCTTTAGGGGTCGATTGAGGGGTCAAACGGACTCCGATTTTGGTGTTCTTTATATGTACGGAATCGGGAGAAGATGAAGAACACTTTTCTGTAAAAATTTCTGAGTTTCGAAAAGTGGGACCGGGGCTCGGGTTTTGTCAATTTCGGGATTATTGATATTTTTCGATTATTTTCGATTGGGTATTGATCCTATAGCATAATGTGACGTATTCGTTGTGGTTTTGGTCAGATTCGACGCGCGAGGAGGTCGATTTGAGAGGCAAGGGCATAGCGAGCTAGGATTTTGGCCGGCTTGAGGTGAGTAATAGATGTAAATGCTGTTCTGAGGGTTTGAAACCCCGAATTTGCACATTGTAGTGCTATGTTGAGGTGACTTGCATGCCGGATAACGGGCGTGGGGTAGAGCACCGCCGGGGATCGTGACTTGGTCCGTCCCGCTTAATAAAATGACTACCTAATTGATTGAAGCTTAGTGAGATCCTTATAAAAATGGATTAATTGTCATAATTTGGCCTCGCGCTAACTGATTGAATCCTTCAGGGATTGTTTTTACTGGTTTCTTACCATATTTTCAGACAATTGAACTCAGTCCTAGTATTTAGTACTGTTTTGCAAACTCAGCCACTTTTTCTCAAAACTTGGAACTTAAATAATATTTCTATTGAAGTTTGGGCTTTTAATATTTCAATATTATTGTGCTTGAGGGGCTTATATGATTCTGGACTGAGTATGGGATCGGGCTGCGCGCTGCAGCAGTATTATATTAATATTGATATGAGGCTTAGGGCCTAATGGATGCCATGAGATAGCTTGATATTGCGCTTGGGCCGTAAGGGGCCCCTCCCGGAGTCTTCACACCCCCAGTGAGCGACATCGACGATAAATAAATGGAGCGGGCTGCACGCAGCAGCGGGTACTAGAGAGTACCGTACTATTTGTTGCATGTCTTAATTGATTGTCATTCATTTACTTATCTGTTGCAGCATCATTATTTTCATTGGCTTATTGAGTTGACATTATCTGGATTAAACTGCTGTAATTATAGCTTACATTGTGCCTATCCAGGATTTCTTACTCTCAACCCTTATTTATGTTTATTACTCTCTGGGTTGGAAGTACTCACATTACTCCCTGCACCTTGTGTGCGGATCTATGTGCACCTACTGAGGCTGAGTGAGGATTTCTCTGCCGAGCATGATATCTGGGAGCATCAAGGTAGCTGCATGACGTCCACAGTCCTGATCTTCCCATCTAACCTATTTGCTTTATTTCCGCATTTCTTTAGAGCAATATGTAGTAGGTTGACACCCGTGTATTAGAGGCTCAGACTTGTGACAATGGATTCTTCGGGCTGTGTAGTAGTATTTCTACTTGGGTTTTTCGCATGTTTTAATTATATTTCAGAGTTTCAGTATTATGACTTAGTAATTATTTGTGTTAATTGAATCATGAACTGTATAAAAAGGGTTAAGGTTGTTGAATTGGTCGGGCTTGCCTAGCAGTGTGTTGGGCGCCATCACGACCGAGGTTGGGGTCGTGACAACATAAATACAACTCACACACCTGACTTGCAACATAATAGCCTAGATACCTCTTTGCAAATCTATAGCCTAAAAATAATAGGCTAATTCCCGAAAGACAGCTTATTTCACACAATCAACTACGGTTATTGCTCCCTCTTTATACAACCAGTTATTTTCATACACTATTATGTGCAACTGCTGAAGCAATCCAACAGGATAAAAGAAAAGTAAAAACTTGGTAAATGAATTGTAGAATCCCTCCAATGCGTACAAATCTTTTTTATACAGCACATACACGAAAAAGAAGAAGAGAAGGAAGTGTCAAACTTCCGTAGAGGCCTCTTACACACTGACAATGTATATACATCCTTATAAACTGAAAAAAATATATAATTATACATAAATATACACATTTATACACAATTATACAATACTGTATAACTTATATAAACATGTATAATAGTGTATAAGAGGTGTTTGTAAATTCATATACACAATTATACACTATTATATAGTGTTTATACAAACTGCTACATAGTTATGATTTTTATCCAAGCCTCGAGTTGTAGTAGAAGGTATTGGATGATTCAACTCGTTTATAGGTTAGCAATTTTGCACCAACGA